CTATGTTGGCGCATTCCATCCTTGCATTGGATGCCTTGCTTTACATCCCCATTCAGGCAGGGTAGTGATTCTATAGTGAAAATGTATTTATTTTTTTTTACCTTAATGCATTCCCTGCATTAAGGTAAAAAACGATTTCCATTACTTGTTTTGGCCTCAACTGTGGAACGCTCCTGGTGCCCCCTCACCATATTGCTTGCTGAGGGGGCATTTGGAGGAAAGGAGAAGCTGGCACTTTTGTTTTAAAGCCAAAAAAAAGCACCTTTTTTTTTTTTTAATTCATTTTAATTCCCCCTGCTCTATAATCCTAGGCAAAATGGCTCCACCTGGTGGTCTGATAGGGATCCTAATCTGAATTGCCTACTCGTCCCTCATTTTATTTATTTATATAGCCTGGACCAAGTTACAGCATTTTTAATTAGAACCCTGTAGGTCAACCTTCTATACCCTCTCTTCCTTACCTCCTGCAGGACCTTGTGTCCATCATGAGCCCTATCTTTCTAAATCAGATGGATTTATAAGATTCAAACCCTCTCCATCTGTTCTGTCAGCAGCAGTACCTTTTTACTTTGGATTCCTTTTCCACTTGGGGCCATGGTAGCCCTGGAGGCTAGTCTTTTCCTTAATTTCATTTTGTTTCTTGCCCTTTGAAACCTTCTAGTTTTTCTGCCATGTCCTGAAAGTGGTACTAAACCCACAACAGTAAAATCAGTCAGTATATGCAGTAAAGCATGCTTATTATTATCACTATGGAACCTAAGGGGTTAATCCTCTGCATTATGTAAAAATGCTGTTCTGATCCTCCCCTTCTTCCAGTCCCCCTCTCTTATCTCCTGATAAAGTCTATTGTGTGGAGTCACTCTGCACATGCTCAGTTTGGTGTAATTACTAGAGAGGTTTTTATAGGCACACCTCAGTCCTCCGTGTAAGTACAGTATTTCAAAGTGAAAAGTCTGTGCACTGTGTATAAAGAAGCTTCACTTCTTTACAAGTGCCAAATACAAATCCTCTGTGCACAGCCGTCCAACATCCTGTGCTCTCACCTATTATGACGGACCTCCCTATTAAGAGGTCATTATTATTATTATTATTATTCAGTATTTATATAGCGCTAAAAGGTTTGCTCAGCGCTGTACATTATAGTGGGGGACAGTACATGAGACAATACAGTAACAATACAATACACAAGGGGGTTAAGGGCCCTGCTCTTTCGAGCTTACAATCTAGGAGATACTCAACTTATGTACAACCACCTGGTGAAATGGCACTTCTCCACTTAGGCACCTGTTGCTCATTTCTACCACCTATTTCCCTTCCACTTGTGATGGTACAGCTCATAAACAAAAAAAAATACTGCATAGTGCACACTGCAAGTGTTTATTTAAATTAAATGGGTATAGCCACATACATGTTAAAAATATCAGCAGGCATTCATTCAGGTAAACCTCTTCAAGGTCTCTGCATTTTTGCCTGACCTAAGCTTCTTCACGTTTTTAAAAAATAATTTTAGGCCTGAAGATTACATAAAACCCCCAAAACATTATATATTTTTTTAAAGCAAAAAAACTAGAGAATACAATTGTGGTAGTTCCAATTTATGTTACACGATATTACTACAAAGGTCCAAGAAATGCAATGTGTAAAAAAAAAAATTAACTTAATTTTAGGGCACAGGACAGCAATAAATTACCCAACTGTTTGTTGTTTTTTTTTTTTTGCAAAATTTAAAAGATGAGGTTGCACTGAGTAAATAGCTATCCAACATGTCAAACCTTAAATTTGTGTGCGCTCATGAAATGGTGACAAACTTTAGTACCCTATATTTTCTATAGGTGATGCTTTACAACCCCTTATAGGTCATCAGTTTAGCGTTACAGAGGAGGTCTTGTGCTTGAATTATTGCTCTCACTCGTCACGCCAATACAGAATGTGTTTTGCAATCAACCCTTTCATGTTTATCTGCCCTGGCATGTGCTTTTACATTTTGTACGTGCGTATATGTGAGGGTGGAGGGAGGGGCTTTTTTTTTTTTTTTTTTTTTTTTTTTTTGTGAGGAGGGGAGGTTATGTGCTTGGGTGTAACTTTAATTTTTTACAATTAAGTTAATTAACTTTTTTTTTTCTTTATCACATAGGGGGGGGAAAAATTCTCCTATATGTTGATTTTTGGTGGCAGGTTCTCTTTACATCCCTGTACTCCACTGGATGTAATGCAGTGCACATCACACAGCATTACATTCTTTCTTTCCTGGCCTCGATGACTGGGAAAACTGTCCACAGGTACCCGGAAATTACGTCACTTCTGGGTCAGGACAAGAACAGGAGGGGAGTGGACATGTCCACTCTCCTCCATCCGCTCTACACGCTGGCATCCGCTGAACTCTTCCCAGACCCGTAGATGGGAAAGCGGAGCCCGGGAGATATAGGCAAGACGGAGGTACATGGGGTGGCGGACGAGGCTGGCACTTTGGGCTATGTGGAATCAATCGCTGCTGCCCAAATGTTTCCATCTGACAGGTGGATTGCTTCCACCTGAAAGTGTCATGATCACGGCGTCAGACCCCAAACCTTCTCACCAAACTCGTGACCGAAGGACTAGCCGATCTAAAACCGCGCTGTCACGTGCGTAACAATGCTGCACCCTGCACAACGATTTTCCAGCTAATTGGACAACAATCGATGTACCGGCAGCCTGAGCGATTGTTACTGGGTCAGGTTAATTACACAATTAACCCTTCACACTGCCACCACCTCCTTTTTGTACAGAGAAAGAGGAAACTCGGCAATTATCAGCTAAAACACTATAATGGTTGAGATAATCATCTGCATAATACGGTCACCGCAGGTCGATTATGCAGAGGGTTAAACAAACACGTAGCGTTCTCTTTAGAGGCAGGAATTCGTAAATTGCAATAAAGCGCTATAAAAACAGCTTAACACTTTCAGAAGGAAAGATTTATTACTAAAAGGTCAAACGGGTGCAATAACAATATTTTAAGAAAAAGATGTAACTAAGATAGATATATAGAGAGAGAGAGAGAAATACGAACAGCACAGCAAAGAGAGAGAGGTGAAAGGGTTAAGGTACTTGCGAAAGTCCTGGGTTAGCAGATCCAAGTTTCAGAGTGAAAGGGCACGGGTCTCCCCAGGTGGTACTGATGTTAAAATGGGAAACGTCTTCAACTTACTCTCTTAGGCCTGACAGCCTATTTTTGTAGTTCCCCAGCAGGGGGTGTCTCTGACGTCAAGGACCAATACCCGTTTAGGGCGTGGAGGTCTAGGCGGATACCTCAACTAGAGCCAAAATCTCTCCTAACTCATATTTTGGCCCAATGAGGGACAACATGGAGATTCTTAACAAAATGGAAGACTGCGTCAGTCTCTGGTGCGCACATTTGCGACAGAAAGGTTTAACAAAAAAAAAAAATGAGAATATATTTGATTTGTGTCGCGCTCCACTAAATTAATTGCTTAAGTGAGCTATAATATATTTAAAGTGCAGTATGTGCTCAAATAATATATATATATATATATAATAATCCAAAAAAATTATTAGATAAAAAATCTATATTGAAAATAAAAAATCAATGTGAATATATAAATTAATAAAATATATGGATATAATAAATTAAAAATAAATATATAGTGTCCAAAAAATATATATGTTTTTGTGTCTTGGAGTATAGTGCAAGACACAAGTCAATCCCATCTTTTTTTCTTGGATCTCTATTGCTTTCTGCAAACTGGTGCTTAAAATTGGGTGAGGTTATATGGGGAACACTGGGAAGTGGACCCAGCAAAGCTTTTGCTAGTATCCATTCACCTGAAGGTAGCAGCATATTACCCATGGTCTCTGAATCGATTCCCGTGTCTTGCACTGTATACCAGCTTACAGATATATCAAAATGTTGTCATACATTGACATTTAAATATCTTCCTTGCCCCCTAAAGTAGCAGCCACCTTCCAAAAAACGTCACTTAGTCCTGCTCTCAAGTTCTTCTCTGTTGGATCCTTTGACTCCACACGGCCTTTGCAAAGAGAAGTCTTAGCCGAATTCTGTTCCTGTTCCTATTGTGTATGTGCGCTTTTTAGTCCACTTATTCCTGTAGCTGGATTTGTACCCTGGGGTCTGCCATGATGCGTATTACCACAGTGCTACTGCTCTACTAATGGTAAATTTACAGCATCTTTATTTTCATTCTAGGTTATGGTCAAGATTTTTTTTGGCGATTCAGGTGAACTTATTATTTGCTTAGTTTTGGCACAAAGTATAGCAGTTTTTTCTAATCTATTGTAATATACAGAAATCTTTGTGAAGAAGTAACCCTTTTCAGAGTAAATAAAAGAGAAGTGTGTGTGATTGAGGTAAAGGGAAAGAACTGAGCGCAACTTGGTGTAAGGTGGGATCCATTGCCAGAGAAGAAGTTGATCTTTGAAATGATTATGCGGAAAGCAAAGGATTAAGCAAGTTATTGGGTTTTATGGAAGAGGCAGGTGTGTAGAAGTAGGAGTCAGGCAAGTGATAGGTGTGTGCATGTTTTTTGTTTTTTTAGAAATTGTAATGTTTTAGCATAAGGTTACTGCATCATGCTGTTGGAGAGATCACAATTATGTGACATTTATTGACATATTTAGGAGACCTTAAGGCCCAGTAAAATATTAAAGTTTGGCTTATTAAAGGAAGTAATTAAAATGGGGGGTTGACAAAGCAGGTACAATACATATGAAAGGATGAGCCATGTATTGTTGCCTCAAACTTCTGCTTTTTTTAGAGCTTTTTCTAGGTTGTTAAAGCTTGGAATGTTGACATGCAAAGCAGTGCAAATGTTTTGAGCCATTGCATCTGACTCTTTACATATGTTTTTTGTGTTCACAGGTGATGCTTACAGAAGCTAAATGACGCCATTTACACAAAGAGGAGAAGCAGTGATTAATGGCAGTGTGCTAGGGCAAATCCATTGGAAGAGTCCAAAAGCAACGAGACTTGATTGCTTGCCATAATGAAGAAAATCAGTCTGAAAACATTTCGCAAGTCTTTTAACTTGAATAAAAACAAAGAGGATAATGATTTTGTAATGGTACAGCAGCCTTCATTGACCAATAACTTTGTGAAAGATGATTCTCTGTTTGGCAGTTGTTATGGCAAAGACTTGACTGGATGTGAAATAAACAACGAAGAAGAGAAAGGTGGCAAAAATAGGCCAAAAAGCGAGAGCTTGATGGGAACACTAAAAAGACGCCTTTCAGCAAAGCAGAAACAAAAAGGAAAGGGAAGCACATCTGTGAACTCAGCAGAAGAAGACACATTTTCTTCTTCATCTGCACCTATAACTTTCAAAGATGTAAGATCTCAGAGATCATTAAGATCAACTTCACTTAGAACCCACCATTACAGTCCAACGCCATGGCCTTTGCGACCAACAAATTCTGAAGAGACCTGCATAAAAATGGAAGTCAAGGTGAAGGCATTGGTTCACTCCACCACTCCAAGCCCTGCACTTAATGGCGTTCGAAAGGACTTTCATGAGTTGCAAGCAGATAATGTCTTTCAGGAACAAAGCAATGTGATGAAAAATACAGAATCTCATAACGGAGATCTCCATCTACATATTAATGAACATGTGCCTGTAGTTATAGGACTTATGCCTCAGACTATATTCAGTATACTGTGCCTTTAGATGAGGGAATGTATCCTTTGGAAGGGTCACGCACTTTCTGTTTGGACAGTTCATCCCCGATGGAAGTTTCTGCAGTACCATCCCATATTGGAAGTAATAGTTTTCACGAAGAAGAAAGTCAGGTGGCTCCGGATGTAGTGGTGGCTCCGGACATCTTTGTTGACCAGTCTATTAATGGTCTGTTGCATAGTACTAATGGAGTACTGTTTCAGAACTCCAGGGGAAGTCACAATGATGTCCCTCCACTTTCACCATTACTACCTCCAGTACAAAATAGTCAAGTCCAAAGGAACTTTGCAGGACTTAATAGCACAGATGCACACATGGCTGAAAACATGAGGTGCCATTTGAATTTTGATCCCAGTACTGCTCCGGGTGTGGGTCGAGTTTATGACTCTGTACAACATAGTGGTCCTATGGTAGTCACTAGTCTTACTGAGGAGCTTAAAAAACTTGCCAAACAAGGTTGGTACTGGGGGCCTATAACACGTTGGGAGGCAGAGGAGAAACTGGCCAATGTTCTGGATGGCTCTTTTTTGGTTCGAGACAGTTCTGATGATCGTTACCTTTTAAGCCTAAGTTTTCGTTCTCATAGCAAAACACTTCACACTAGAATTGAACATTCGAATGGTAGATTTAGCTTTTATGAACAACCAGATGTGGAAGGACATACCTCTATAGTGGATCTAATAGAACATTCCATTAGAGACTCTGAAAATGGAGCATTTTGCTACTCCAGATCCCGAGTACCAGGATCGGCCACTTATCCAGTTAGGTTGACAAATCCAGTATCACGATTTATGCAGGTACGTTCATTGCAGTACCTGTGCCGATTCGTCATACGTCAGTACACCCGAATAGACCTGATTCAGAAACTCCCTTTGCCAAACAAAATGAAGGATTATTTACAGGAAAAGCACTACTGAACTTGTGGGAATCTTGCAATTTTGCACTTTGGGAACAAAAAGAGATTTAAATACAGTTTACAAACTTTCGTCGCTACCCGAATATTTTGCTGCCACACAAATATAGTTTGGAAAAATTAGTGTAATGCATTATTCTTTTCTTTTTTTAATTAGTAAAAGTTTTAAAACATCAGATGTCTGAAATCACCATCTTTTATCAACATTCAGAATCACAATGCAAAATACTAGGTTCTCCTATTTTTTCATGTTCTTAGCTGCTATCCACTGTGATTATTATGCATTAAAAACACACATTTCATGTGTTCTTTGCCATCACTGACATTAAATTAAAACTTTAGATTCAGCTTTTAACGGTTTGTGTTGAAAGTACAAATTTTTCATACTTCTAATAATATATATTTATTTTAAAACTGGAGACAGACTAGAGACACATGATCAATCCTGGGCTAGAACTGCATCCAGAGCAAAATCATCTGTCCCTAACTGCAGGTAATTTGTCCACACGTACAACTTACTTCCCCATGTGAATGCTCTCTTATAGTTGACATGAGGCCAGGTTAGCTGTAACATTATTAATTGGTTACTGCAATTTTCAGTCTGTAAAGGACAACTGTACTTTAGTAAATCAAGTACCTTCCTCCCCACTGTGAATTTCACTGTGCGGTACTTCTCACCACTGCACACACTTTGTGTCCTCTTCTTGGTGTACTATGGCCATATTTATTCCTTTGAATGAGCACTATTCATGGCAGCCTTCAGCTATATGTATGGCCTCAATAGGAATGTGGTGCACTTGTGCATTGGGAAAAGGACCTAGCATGGACATTTTTTTTTTTTTTCTTGCATAAACTGTGGGAAGGACTGCAAAATGAAGATTATGGGGGCATGGAGAAAGGTGCTTACCTTGCCGGCTGCACTTGGAGGTGTGGGGTTTACTGAAAGGTCAACTTTACTGAGAGTAGAGTTTTCCATAAATCAGTCTAGTGTGGTGTTTCCAAGCTTTAGTTCTGCTTACCCCTTCCCATGAGTTCCTCAATCCCATCTAGGAACCGTTAGTACCCCTGTTATTTTGAATTCTTCAAAAAGAAGTGTTAGGGAGATGTTCTGTAAATTCCTCATTCACGACAGTTCAGCTTGTGTTTTGTAACCAGTTATAAACTCAAGTTAAATATTTGTTGATGTGCATAGGTCTGTCAACATGTAAGTACATTTGTTGCTGTGTTAGTGAAATGCTGACGGCTACAATTTGAAAGCTGTGAACACTTTTTTGGTTTAGACCTTTTTAACATTTAAGTGTGCTGGCCAAAATGGATTTAAATGATAGATTTAGATAGAGTAGGAAATGGTTAAAACACCTGCCAGTGTTCATGGGAAATGTTTACATTCTGTTAAAGGTCCTTTCACAAGGGCATTCTGTTTTTTTTTATTTTTTCTTCAGTTCAGTCAAGTTTTTTTCAAAATAAAAATGGATGAGTTTACATCCATTTTTTTCATCTGTTTTTTTAGTCATCAGCTGTCAGCAGGGTTCCCCACTGACAGCTGAATGTAAAAAAAATAACAAATTGCCGGCAATTAAAAAATAATTTTAAAAAATGGCGTAAGGTCCCCTCCATCCATACCAAGCCCTTCGGTCTGGTTTGGATTTTTAGGTCAGAATTTAAAAAAAATTGGTGTTGAGTCCCCCCCCCCCCCCCCCCAAATCCTTACCAGACTCTTATCTGAGCATGCAGCCCGGCAGGTCAGGAAAGGGGGGGGGGGCGAGTGATGGGGACAAGGGCCTCTTCCTCACAACCCTGGACCGTGGTTGTGGGGGTCTGTAGGCACAGGGCTTATTGGAATCTGGAAACCCCTGGATCCCGCCCCCCCCCCCCGTGCGAATGAGTATGGGGTACATGGTTGCGCTACCCATTCACAAAAAAAAGCTGTAGAGTGAAAAAAGACAGGAGACAGTCTTTGACAAGTCCTTTATTAAAAGAAGGAAAATAAAAGAATGCCCCCTGAAGTAGATGCAATGTCAATCACAATGCCCGCCGATGCCGCTCCGAAAAAAAAAAAAAAAAAAAAAGGCTTCGCTACCAACGCTAGCCCCCGGCCGTCTGCCTCTGAGCTGGCTTGACATTTCGGAGCGGCGGCGGCGGCAGCCATCATGATTAACGTTGGGTCTACTTCGGGGGACATTCTTTTATTTTACTTCTTTTAATAAAGGACTTGTCAAAGAATGTCTCCTCTTTTTTCACATTACAGCTTTTTTTTTTTTGTGAATGGGTAGCGGTACCATGTACCCTGTACTCATTCACATGGGGGGTGGGATCTGGGAGCTCCTTGCTAAAGGGGGCTTCCAGATTCCGATAAGCCCCCTGCCCGCAGACCCCCACAACCACAGCCCAAGGTTGTGGGGAAGAGGCCCTTGTCCCCATCAACATGGGGACCAGGTGCTTTGGGAGGGAGCTCCCCATGTTGAGGGCATGTGGCCTGGTATGGTTCAGGAGGGGGGGGGCACTCGTGCACGCTCACTTCCCCTTTCCTGACCTGCTGGGCTGCAAGCTCGGATAAGGGTCCGGTATGGATTTTGGGGGGGGGGGGGGGGGTCAACGCCTCCTTTTTTTTTTTTTTTTTTTTTGGTGTGGGGGTTCCCCTCCAAAATCCAAACCAGTTCCGAAGGGCTTGGTATGGTTGGAGGGGGGGCACCACACCAAATTTTTTTTTAATTGCCGGCAATTTTTTTTTTTTTTTTTTAACTAAAAACTCATCCCCCCCATGTTAAGGGCATGTGACCTGGTATGGTTCAGGAAAGGGCACATTCCTGACCTGCTGGGCTGCATACAGTCTGTTGACATCCAATTTTTTATCCGTTCTGTTTTTTTTTGCGGAATAAAATAGGGTTTTCTTCCGTTCAAAAAAACGGATGTTAAAGGATTTGGACATTAACGGATATAAAAAGATGTTCATCCGTTTACATCCGCAAGTCCATAGAAATACATGGAGGTTTTTCATCCGTAAAATGGACAGATGAAAAACGGACATATGGAACGCCCGTGTAAAAGAGGCCTAATTGTCCCCATTTCCCCTCACCACTTATTCAGATCACAACTATTAAATTCTATCTATGCCATTTTGTCCTAATGAAAGTGGTCACCATGTTAGAGTAGTGTAGGTAGTATAACAAACCCATATAAATTCAAAGCAATCAAAATGTGCAGTGCCACTAAATTAAATGTGCATAAAACTCTCACGTGCAGTGTTCAGAGGTTCGCCACCATCTCCCTGTGAATTCAAAATTCACCTGAACAGGTGGCTGCCATTACAACAGCATAAATGCCTATATATCATGTCAGAAATCATCAATGTGTATGCAGGGCTTCCCATTATCCATATCTGATGGGACCGAGCTGGGGTGAAATAAAGCTCACCAGGAGCAAATAAATCTCCAATAGTGTAGTGTTAAAATTCAATGTAAAAACATTCCATAGAAAAGCAAGAAATTATTGATAATCTTCTGTTGGACGAAACATGTCGGGGAGGAGTTTCTAGTTCTGACATCATGCTCCTGCACGATACTGGGTTGGCAGCTGCTTCACATGTAAGCGACTTAATTCCTTGGTTTTTTTATGGAATGTTTTTACTGCAGCCCTCTCTACTGTTCACATCCCAGGAGTGGATGATTGGGAAGCAGATTACCTCACTTGTCATCGCCTGGACCTAGGGGAATGGGTCCTTCACCCCGACATCTTTAATCTCTTATTTCAGAAATGGGGAACTCCAGATGTGGACATCCTAGCCTCCAGGTATAACCCAGAAGTTACCTCTGTAGTCAGGGCCAAGGATCCACTAGAACTGGCATTGGATACTATAATTCCCTAGACCCTGTTCCAGTTAATATACTCCTATCCACCAGTGTGAATTCTGCCTTGACTACTCGGTAAAATAGGGCAATATAAGAAACCGGTGATTGTCATTGCACCAAACTGGTCCAGGAGAACCGGGTACCCAGACATACCCAATTTCTAGGAGAAAATCCCTGGCCTCTTCCAAACAAGTCAGATCTTCTGTCTCGGGCCCCCTGTTCCTTCCTGCATCTCATTAACAGGCATAATGGCATGTCTGTTGAATCCCAGGTCTTAAAAGACAAAGGGGTGTTATCCCTACTCTGCTAAAAGCAAGAAAAGACTCTTCCAGAAACACTTCTACTTGGAAATCCTTCTTTGGCTGGTGTGAACACAGGCATTTCAGTCCTAGAACTAGACTGTGTGGTTTGGATCTGTACACCAGTCTCTTGACGCATGTCAAATTTTGACATGCAGCTCTGTCCATGCAGCCGCTTCATCTGCATCCACCTCTATAGGCTGCCTTCGCACAGCTCAGACTGGATGCGGGCACAATAACAAATGCACTCTGCATGCAAGACAAGTGTCAACATCTGTATGAACAAACCCTTACACTGATTTGTATGCTAAAAACTGAGCTATGAGGGAGTGAGGTAGGGTGATAGGGGGTATGTCCTGGGGGTATGTCAAGCAAAGCTGTGCCAGTGTCCAATCACTTGAAGGTACCAGTCTATAATCCATGGTCTATGAATATCCAGTCTACTCCAAGATACAAAATTTGCAGGTAAGTCAAAGGGGTTTTCTTTTCTTTTGCTGATGTTAAGCACCTAGGCCTGGAATTTTGGTAATGCAATATACTGTATATGGCCACTTATGCAGTAGATGTACAGGGAATTTCTTTAGGCTCCATGTTTATGGGTCCTTTTGTGTATCCATCACGAATTACGGACACGTTTCGTGACTAGGAGAGACAGCCTCAGCGTACAGCTGTCCATAGTAGTGAATGGCTGTATGTGAGTATACGCTGTGCTTGCATAAGTACAGATTGCGTGCATTCTGGGATTCATAACCTTGCGCAAGTTTACTCAAGTACATTGTATATCTGCTGTACACTGCAGCTGTATCTGCTAGATGTGGAAATGCCCACAATTTACATTGGATTCCCAACACATTCAC